CGGCCGCGCGGATGCGGAGCGGCTGCCGCCTTGGTGCCGGGGCGAGCTTAGCGGCGTTATCAGGCATAGCTGGAACCATTTGGACGGAAGGATGCTCCCCCTGTCTGCCTGCTTTCGTTAGGCGTTGTCTACAAGAATATTTGAATGGCGTGCATGCTGTCGACCGATCTCTGGGTGCGCCCGGTCCGTCACCGCTGGGTGGCGTCAGTGCCTGTTGTCGCTCCCCTTGTCCGAGTGTGGGACTCGGCCCGCCTATGCCGTTCTTCTGGCGGTACGGGTGGGTGAGGTGGTGCTCCTGTCCTAGTGTGTGGGATGCTATGCCCGCCTGTGCCGTTCTTCTGGCAGTACGGGTGGGTGAGGTAGTGCCCCTGTCCTAGTGTGTGGGATGCTTTGCTTGCCTGTGCCGTTCTTCTGGCGGTGCCAGCGGGCGAGGTGGTGCCCGCCCGCCGGCTGACTGGCTGGCCGGCCGGCCGCTGACGGCGCCTGACGCCGCAGACCGGAGCGGGACGAGGACGCCGAGCGCCGACTGCAGGCCGAGGTGAAGGCGCGCCGCGCCCAGCTGCGCGAGCTGCTGGCGCGCCGGCCGCAGGTCTGGATGCCCTTCACCAGGCACGGCCGGCTGCAGGTGCCGCGCAGGAACGGTGAGTCGCCGCCACCGCCGCCCCATGCATGGGCTTACGCCGGAAAGTAAGTCGAGCCAGGCGGTGGTCCGAGGCTAGGCGGCCAAGCCAGGCGGTGGTCCGAGGGGCAGCCGAGCCAGACGGTGGTCCGAGGGGTAGCGGAGCCAGGCGGTGGTCCGAGGCTCGGCGGCCGACCAGCTCACCAGATCAGCTCACCCGCACCAGCCATCAGCTCACCCGCTGGCCCCAGCAGTGTGTGTGTGTGTGGGGGGGGGGGGTTGTGGTGCCGCTGGGTAACCTCGTATCGTGTGGGGGGGAGGAGGGGAGGGGGAGGTGGTCGTCGGAAGAACACCGCCCTCCAGGATCGGCAGGGTTTGTTTTGCGTCACGTGTACACCAACGCGTGTAAAAAACGGGGATCGCTGTTTATCAGACATCGACGACAGATCTTTTAAGTCGCATGAGCCTACATTTTGTCAGTACGAGGCTGGAGGTTTCCTGTGTTGTGATCAGTACGCGTACGGACCTCGCCGTAGTGTTCCTCTAAGCTACTGTCTACTGACACCAGTGGTCTGTCCCTGACGCCGCCGCCGACTGGCGCCCGGCTGCCTCTCAGCTGCGCCGTCGCGCCCCACCCACGCGGCGTCAGCTGACGCACATCAGTGGTCTGTCCCTGGCGCCGCCGCCGGCTGGCGCCCGGCTGCCTCTCACCTGCGCCGTCGCGCCCCACCCACGCGGCGTCAGCTGACGCACATCAGCGTGTGAACCGGCTGCGACGCGCCGCTGGACACGTCTCCCGCCTCCGTGCCGGCAGTGTCGGCGCTGCAGGTGGCCAAGGCGGGAACGGCCGCCCCGGGGCCGGACCCCGAAGACGGCGGTCCGGCGCCGGTCGAGGCGACGGTGGCGCCACCGCCGCAGGACGGCGACGCCGGGAGTCGCCCGGACAAGCGGAAAGCGGTCGCCGCCGCGGCCCCGAGCCACAAGCCCAAGCAGGCTGCCAGCGCCAAGCGCCGCAGGAAGAAGAGCTGGTTCGCCAGGAAGGGCAAATAGGCACGCGGCATAGTCGAACTGAAAGGTGCTGGAAATATCTTGTGAGGAGCAAAAATACATCTTGTTCATGTGCGTACACGTGTGGGCGGTGACGAACTCAGCATATTTCACGAGCAGTGTACGTTGCTGACGTCCGCATGGTTCATGCTCTCCCTTCAGAACGTTGACAGGACCACACGCACACGTTTGAAAGCGCACATCAAGATAAATGTATTTAACTAAAGCGGTCATATAAAATACATGTACACTGGCCACCTACATGACAGATTCAAGCGAAAGCGTGCTTCCGCACCTGATACACCAGTGACGTCAGAGGCCTGACGTCACTGAGAGAGCCAGCTGCTGCGAGATGAGGTATGGGCACGGCCGGGCGGTATCACAGCATAGTCGGACGCGGCACCCCTCGCGCTCCTCCCACCTCTAGCCACGGACGTCCTACTTGGCCCCTAAACCATCGGTGGTCGCGCGAGGCTGAGACCGCCAAGTCTGTCCGCCAAGGCTAGCGCGGGCGGCAAAGGTCCGTCGACAGCATCGCACCCGGAACGCCATCCTACTGCGCGGAGGTATCCGCGCAGTATTGCAATACATGCATATTGCGTATCACCTACGAATTACATGGCCGCCTCGCCTCCGAGCCCGTGAAGCGAAGCTGGACAGCTACGATGTCTACAGCTGAGACACAATTCGTCACAGAAGCGCGCCATCCTCGTGCATGCCGGAGGCCGCGTGGTGCAACGTAGAAGGCCGCGCTCACCATCTGCTGTCATCTGTCACCGACAGCATCAGTCGGCCAGCTCCGCCGAGCGCTGAAGTATTCACATGGGCCTCCGGCCCGAGCCGCATGAGACCAGGTATGTGCACATCCCGACCGGAGAATATCGCGCATATCGTCACAGCTCTAACACGCCATTTACACGCATCCATAAATACACCGACGCACACGCAAGCGCGCAAGGCTCGGCCGTCGGCCCAGTCCCTGACGAAACTCCGTCTGCTGTGGTTTAAGGCATGCCGCCGACGCTACTTGTCCCCGGTAATGCACGCAGCCGCGTGCTCACCGCTCATGGCCGTGGTCCGTGAGAAGTGTGAGAGCATTCTCGGGGCGGGCGAGAGGGCCCGGCGGCCCCCATCAGCAGCCGGTCGCCTCCCCGTCCGTCGTCCCCAGCAATCCAGGTTACGAGATCCGCCTACCGCTCCTCGTCTCCTCTTGTGATTGAGACAATCTATTTTACATTCAGCGTCCCGCCTCCGACCCCGACGCCGCCGTTTTCGGCGGGCGCGCGGCGCCACCCCTCCACCGCCTGACACCCCTGCCACCGTACACGGCTACCGACCCCGTCGCCACCGAGCTCTTCAACTGCGCTAGCCCTGGCCAGCGCTCGTCCTCAGCCGGCCCGGTCCGCCGCCGGACGCCGTTTCCCGGTTGCACCATCGGCGCCGCGCCGGCACCGGACGCCGCTCGCCGCCGGCCGGGCCATCAGGCGGGTCGCAGCAGCGCCATGGTCAGCAGGCCCAGGCCGTAGGCGAAGGCCAGCTTCACCTGAGAGCTGATGTGCAGCTGCGGCGGCACGAGCGAGGGCGCCGTCTCGCCGGCCGTCGGCAGCAGCAGGGCGCCGATGCAGACCAGCGCCGCCGCCACCACCAGGCAGTGGTGCTGGCTCACCTGGCCCAGACCGTACCCGCCTGCCGGCGCCGGGCGATAAGACATTTAGACGGCGAACGGTGCGCCCAGCCCGCACACCATCAGACGTCCCCCCCCCCCCTCACATGGCTCGCACTTCTGTAATAACACGTTTGTGGGTTGGCAAAGTGCCCGTGGTGCATGCTCCTTGTGGGCAAGAACGAAGTCTCGCGATCGTAGGTGAGATAACTTTTTCGGGGGAGGCTCTATCGAACAGCGACAGCGGTCACCAGATTGGCTCCCTTCTTCCGCTCGCCTACCGGCTTCATGAAACGAAGCGGGACAACAGACAACAAAGCACATGCGTGACAACAGCGGGACAACAAAACAGACAACAGCGGGACAACAAAGCACATGCATGAACGTGAATGACAACTTACTTTCGTACTTTCAGCTTAACTATTCATGACTGGTAAAACAAACAAAATGCTTCGCGTAAATCACTTCCTTTCAGCAGAGAACAGGAGAGTTCTCCCAGACCCGATCACCAGATCTCCCCTCCCCTGAGCTGACCCGCCGTCGGCTCACCTGGCGGCTCGCGAGCCGGCCTGGTGTCGGCGCCCCTACGCTCCTGCACCACCGAGTGGAAGCCCTCGCGCTCCTGCTCCAGCTCCTCGTGTTCCTCGGCCGGCGGTCGGCCCGGCAGCAGCGTGGACGGCAGGTAAGTCCGGCCGATCAGCTGCGGAGGCGGCCACCGCATTAGGAAGGCGGACAGCGACATTCACGGTCGCACCAGTGCCGAGTCTGTGACCTCTACGTCTCCGGAGCCTAGCCCCGGAGGCGCAGAGGTGCAGACTGCAGCGCCCCACACATCATCAACCCCGAAGGACTGGGCGATAAACAGCGTGCACCAGTACAAAGGCCAGACAGGGAAACTGCGCGGACCAATTACGACAGCAAGTTCGTGAACATCGGCCGGGTAAGTACCATGAAGCCAAACAGCAAAAACTACCACTCAATCTTCCTTCTTTTCTCCACAGGCATCCTCACCAGGCCCGTGTCTGGCTGCGCGGCAACGAGACACAGTATAAACGCCGTCAATGACGCGCCGCGCTCGCTCACCTCCTTGCGGCCAAACTCAACCAACAGCGCTGGGCGCGCGCTCACCTCCTTTTGGCCAAACTCGGCCAGCAGCGCTGGGCGCGCACTCACCTTCTTGTGGTCAAACACGACCAGCAGCGTTGGGCGCGTGCTCAACTCCTCGTGGCCAAGCTCGACCAGCAGCACTGGGCGCGAGCTCACCTTGTGGCCAAACTCGACCAGCAGCGCCGGGCGTGTGCTCACCTCCTTGTGGCCAAACTCGACGATGTCCACGCGGAACTTGTCGGTGACGTTGACCGACTGCACGCTGGGGCTGGTGTGGCGCACCACGATGTCCAGGCAGCACTTGGCCTTGATGGAGCCCACCGGGTCCACCACCTTGTACTTGGCCGGCTGGTTGGCGTACACTGCGGAGCACGGCGGCAAGCGGTGCAGGCGAAGGTAGGCGGCGAAAAGGCTCACATGCTTAGTAATAGTTGTACTCACTTTGCCCAGTGAAAATGTGAATGTTAATGCAGGCTGCTTGACACAGCAATTCACGACACATATGATGTGGTGCTTTAGTTCTATAAGTTAAATATGTAATCATGTGTGTATTAATACCAATAATATGAGCAGTGGTGCAACAAATTGCATCACAAATCATGGCAAAATACATACCTTTGAATGTGATGCCAATATCATATGGGTTGTAGAGAGTGACCACTTGCTTCAAGCTGGCTGGGTCATCCAAGTAAAAATTCAGACTTGATGGAAACACAAAGACAGGATATTTGAGAGATCCCTTTCCTGGTGGTTTCCTGGTTGCCATATTTCTGAAAATAAAATGCCCTAGAGCCCAACAGTGATTAATAAATGGTGTACAACACTGAGACGCCAACAGCAAGGTTGCCCTTACTTCAGAATAAGTTGAAGCCATGCCAGTAGATAAATGTCATTTTGCCTGTCATTTGCCTATTATTTGAATTTGACTTTGAATATAAGCTTTGCTGACATGGTTATCAAGCAATGGTCACAACATACAGACTGCCATTGAGTTGCGTCTTCTTTGATCAGACAGGGAAAAATACCTTTAACTAATAGAATGCATCAAGTTGGATGCGGGTATGTCTCGAGTTTTTTGACAACTGCTCAATTTAGGAATGCACCAAAAATGACAATGGAAGGAATGTTTCAAGGAAGGGAACAGAGTTTCTACAAACAGAAATGACATCAGACACATGGTCAAAATTGTCATCAGCAAATAGCCAATAACAAATTTTCTAAAAACTCATGCAACATGGCCTAACTATATGTGAAATTATCTATTATCTAGTCTCAGGTACCTTGCTCAGTAGAATGGGTGTGGTCCCATGTTCCACCCCTACTTTGAGTGTGCCCTTGAATTTTATTATCTACTTTTTAACAAACAAAACTTTGTTTTACACCAAAAGTTCATATAATTTGTTCTTCTACAAAATCATTGGTTGGTCTACAAACCATGGCAAGCATGCCACCACAATCCTGTGGCACACCAAGTCCTGCCCCAAAAAGGGCAGTAAGCTTCCCAAGTTGGGAAAATTTTGTTAACCCACCTCCCCAAAACTGCACCTTTACCAAATTAAGTCAGTTTTTGTGATCTTACTAGTCCTCTAAGTCTTAGATAACAGTATGACACTTTGAATATACAAATTCAATAACTTCCACCAACCAACTTGGATAAGCTGCCCCATACTGGAAGCTGAGCCCAACCTCTGTCCACACAAGATCTTGTCCAAATTTATCATGGTTTGTGAACTGAGCACTTGAGGGCATCACCAGTGGTATGTGGCCACCATATGTACCAAAGGTCAGATCAGTGATATATATATATATATATATATATATATATATGACAAAAATGAAGTCCCAAATTTGATTTCACAGCTGAATAGCTAGCTTTCTGGTTCCATGATTACCTAATTCTTAGTTCAGGATGGCCACAGAACTACATCATTATTACAGCAACAAAGCAAAGTAACTCATGATTTTAATATTTAAATAATAATGAACAATCCTTTAATGTAATTTATATAGTCCATTCAGTCTTGCAACACATTTATGATTCCAAAGTGTGATGCTTATGTGACTATCTGGACCCTCAAATATCCTTAAAGGCGTAATTTTCCATGCACAGGTTGGTCTCACCCAACTTGTGTCTAACATGGTAGCAATCCCGCAATGTGTTCAAGACATTTCACATTGCCTTATGCCTTAAGCCCCAAAAGTAGAGCCCAGGTGGCATGCATAGGTCCTCTACACGTTTTATAAAAGTACTGCTATACGTTTTGTCCATGATCTTTTACTCTGCAATAAAGTCCGACGACGACCACGTCAGCCTCATAAACAACCTAGGAATTTTGTTCACATGGTGATAATGCGGTTGCTTGAATCTGGGTTATTTCTGAATAACATACGACAGACGCACTCACGATCAATAAATAGCCAGACACCAACACTCACCGTGCCAAATGTCTTCTTATCATGACAATATGAAACAGCTGATGCGGCGAGCCCAACGCGGAGCAGTATTTGGTAGCATTGGTAAAGTTTTTGATTGAGTAAGGTGCCTTCTCATTTTCGCGTGGTATCGTAACAAATACGCTTATGATCATTGCGTGTTCCATTGAATAATTTAACTCCATCAAAATTGTATATCCATCTTAACATACCAAAATGATGCAAGATATCACGTGTAATATCATCTGTTATATCTTCTTTACAAGTCACACGCAATATGTAACTTAAATACCTGCTCAGACACCAAAAGTATAGCAAAACATGCGTCAGGAGCTTGTTTGTATTTCAGCTCAAGGCCAAATGGTCTTCTTGTCCGCATTCAAGGACGTGCTTCCGCGGTTGGTGTAGAGAGGGTCGCGGGGGCACTTGGCCTCAGGGAGGAAGGTGATAGTTTTGCATAACTTCCTGGATCTGCATTTATGTTAAGATGAGATACCACTTCCTAGTTTTGTAGTTAACTGGTAGGCAGATCAGGTTAAGCAGCAACACGATAATTGATAGTAAGGCGGACACCTGGATAGGTAGGAACCAACGCTACACAGTCCTGATTTTTAAGTGTAATTACGTGTAGACTACAATCAACAAACTTTTGCTGCCTCACATTTCTTTGCATTGCTCCCATGGAAAATGCTGATCACCCATGTCTGATTTCTATCACTACCACTATCGCCACATGTGACTGGTAGGTACCTAATCACACTTAGTGCCACGTGTAGCTTGTAGATAGATCTGACAGGTAGGCAACTGAATGGCCAAAATATATTGCCTGTTGTGCCTTGGCCAGGTGTGACATTACAAGTAATTGCTCTGGGATGGAACTTGCTATTTCAAAAAGTCCCCATGCATTGATCATCAGTTCATCATTGATCATTGATCAGGCAGTTCATGATCTGTGAAATTCATAGCTGCTGACACAGCTTGTGAAAGACATCTTTGTAAACATGGTATAAGGTGATGAACATGCTATTTTTGGCATATGTAGCCAGCTCATGTATCATTTCAGATGGAAAAGTGGCTATTTGCCTGCTGCTGGTAACAACAGGTGAAGTTCTTCAGGTAGTGGGCTGCCATGGACCATCTTTCACTGGCTTGGGGGACAGCTATTGCAGCAGTGGTGGTGCACACTGTGGGCATCTGGAACCTGGTCACCCTGGTGCTCTCACTTACCACTGTTGCTGTCAGGTGAGCAGTAATGACTGAGGTATCATAATTAATGCATGGTGTCTTTCTTTTGTCAATCCAACCATATGGCATTTTGCAGCACCTTAGGAAGGATGGATGCAGCTTTACATTTGACTCAGTGGTCCTGCTTGACAGTTATTATTTGAGATCCAGAGAGAGTATGAATTTTCATATTTTGCACTGCACCTTTCATCCAGTGTTTATGCTGAGAAATGTGACAAGATTCAAAAAATGTTGGAGGGAATAATTTGAGATTAACTGCTTCTGATATAGTATGCAGATAGCCATCAAATTTGGACCTGTTAAGCTAGAATGTTAAAATGATTACAACTTGCTATAAAACTTCCAAGCCAGAAATGTTGAATATATTGATACTACCATTGACCTGTTGACAGTTCAAGGAAAAATAACAGTTAGCTTATATTGACTTGAACTAGCCCATCTTGAACAGCTGGGCTAGCATGCTTTTGTGCCCTCAGCATTTTGTGTGTCTGGTTTTCAGTGGCAGATTTGGGATTTTGTCAAGGGGTGTGTGCACATGATATTGTAGGGCCCCCTAGAGTTAGGAGCTCCCTCCAAAAAATCCTTGTGTTTCTGCCATTAAATGCTAAGATTATTACATATGTTATGTTGCATACAAGAACTATGACACATGCTATTTTGCATATGGGAAGCCATCTTTCTCTGCACAGCCTTAGAAAATTAGGTTTAGTGCCTATATGCATACATGGAGCTTGTTCATTTGCTCTAGATCATGGTGGATTCCATCATTTTGAAGCTAAGTATTTTAAAAAATACATGGCGGAATGAACTTAAGTTGGTTGCTATATACCATTAGGATCAGGCTGAAGGCTAATTCCTAGCATGTTTTCTGCCAGCTAGCAAGTCCATGTAATCAGGTGATGGCTGATGACTAATGCAGAGTTTTTGCTTTGACAGCTATGAAGCAGTAAAAAAATATCATAACATTCAAAATGCATTAAAAGCATGTTGCATGTTTCATTGGCACATATTTGAATGCTGCTCTAAGGCTTAAGGCACCAGGAGAAATTGTCCTGTAGTTTTGGAACTTATACACATGATGTAAATTGGCCCAGGCCGTACACTCGTGCAGGTTAAACGTCCTGGCACTCGTAAGTGCTCACAGGGATTTTGGCAACTGAGTAAGACCCTTTCGTTTTCATCAGAAGACCTCACGACCAACGTATAGGACCCGGGGCGATCTAGACTACTCAGACTTAGGTCCTCGTCAACGGCGTAGGCCTTCCCATGATATGGGAAATCCTGAGGCCTATAGAGATGGAGCCTGAGCGACCGAGGGCGCCGCGGCATCCAAATGAAGACTCCTGTTGACAGTATAGGATTCTCAGAGCAGGTGAGAACCCAAGACCAATGTAGTGGGCCCCTGAACGATCGGGAGGGCCCCCCGGCAGACTAACTATAGGACCCCGACCAGAGTGCGGGTCCCACCGAGGAAAAGGAAATTCCCAAGGCCATTGGACATGAATTAATGCCCTGGGCGGTCGACGAGTGCCCGGGCATGTTAGCAAATAGTGTTCCAACAGCAGCGTGGTGCCCGTTGAGAAAAGGCGAGGAAATCAATGGTGGCGTGAGAGGCTCCTTAGCATTCGAATTCACTCGGCAAGTGGACATGAAAAACACCCGGCGACAGCGTAGGGCCTCTGGACATTGTATTGAGCCTTACAATTTCCTTCAATTACCACCCTCTCAATCAGCAAATAATTATCTTTATCTGCTCACGGACTCTGCCGTCTCACTGCTCTTCGTCGCTTGGAGGTCCAAAGACGTGCGATTGTGCTTTGTTTTGTGTCAGAAAACTGCATCCATTCGGCCGGTTATGGGCCTATTTGGAGCCTATGTGCTCCCGCGGTTGACAAGGGGTGGGGCGCGTCCCCGTGTCCCCCGCCCCCTCTGTTCGCCACTGGCCCGAACAGTTTAACAGATTGGATCTCGCCATTCAAAAATAAGTACTCAAGGCACAATGTACAGGGCCCAGAACAATCGACCGCGTCCAAGCACGATGATGGGTGGGGGCCCCGACAAGATCGTAGAGTCCTCCATTCAAATCGGAAGTACCAAAGATCTAGTGTAGGGGCTCCCGAAAGATCAAGTGTACCCGAGCAGGTTATCAAACGACCCCCGATAGGAGCGTTTTAAATATCGAGACCCAATATGCAGGGCCTCGAACACAATCCAGCGTGCCCGAGGGTGCGAACAGATGTAGCCTCCGACAAGCGCATAGGACCCTCCTTTCAAGTGGGAAGTACCCCAGCCCCAATATGGAGGGCTCCCGAACGATCGAGTGTGCCCTAGCTGGTGAACTGATCGGACCCCCACGATAAGCGTAGGGCCGTAAGCAAGTGACGGTATTAAAAGGGCCTTAGACCAATGTAGAAGACCCATGAGCATATCGCCAGTATGTTAGTAGACCAGCGTGAAGGACCCCTAAGCAACCGCGTGTGCTCCGGCTTAGGAGTCCCGGCAAAAGTGTATAGAACCTTTCGGATGAATGAGAAGAGTCCGTGGAGGGCCCCTGATCGGTCAAGAGTGCTCAGGCACCCTAGCAGATAGGTGCCACATCAGAGCAGGGCCCTATGAGAAAATGCAAAGAGATCAAGGGCAACGCGGAAGGCTCCAGAGATCGGATTGACCTAGCAAGTGGACATGTAGGACCTTCGGGAATGGCCTAGGAATGGCGTAGGGCCTCCGGATAGCGCAATAGGCGTTAAGTCTTCGAATCACCTCCCTCTCAATCATTAAATGATTATTTTTGTGTGTTTGTGGTCCATTCACTTTCGCTTGTGGCGGCTCTTGGTCGCCTGAAAGCTCAAAGATATCCAATTTTGTCGCGTTTTGTGTAATAAACTGCGTCTGTTCGGCCGGCCATGGGCCTCTTCGGAGCCTACGGTCTCCTTTGGGGACAAGGGGGGGGGGGGGGGGCACGGTCCCGTTCCCCCTTTGGGTCTGCCCCTGTTGGTATTGGATGTTATAGACAGTGCTGAAATAAAGTTTTGCGTTTTGAGCATGGTGATAAAATTTTCGACTTTATTTTGTACTTGGTGTATGTCGCATTATAACACGAACAGGCTGAAGGCAGGACATGCACAGACTGGACCCCATTATTGGTATAGTCAGACTCGCGGCTTAAGAGTCATAAAGGCATCTGGCCAACAAAGAGTAACAAACGCCCATCGAGGTTGGCCTACCACAGGTGCTGTGCACATATTCTTAACTAATCTGACTACCTGACCTGCCTGGAGTTAGGTGTAAATGGGAGCTTTAGACTGATAGAACTTGTCCAAACGATTTTTACAAGCTTGTTATGATTTTAAATTGTATAACTCAGTGTCTTACCCATAGAAACTAAAATTGTTGGTGTCACCAGCTCACCCTAACCTCTCTTTACAACTCACTCTGGAAATGTTGGTAGGATTGGTATCAAAAGATGCGTGATATAACACTGAGTAATAATAAAATGTTTGTATAAATAGGTGTGCTGCATGCAGGTACATCCTTAACCAAAGAAGCATACAGTCCACACCAGCAACTGCAGCCTTGACACATAAAGCTGCATGGGGCAACCAGTGTTGCGATGCAGTAGGCTGATGCGGGCTGGTGTACCGCACCTACCTGATGCCTATACGACATCGTCATCATATTTCACAAAATATGGCTTGCCGCTTAAGTACCACTGAAATATGACAGGCCGCATCTGGAATGAGACCTGACTAACTGGGGTTGGCCTGGGGTGCTCATACATAACTCCATTAACTACTAGCTTGTGGTTGGTCAGGCCAGCCCGGACTGTGCCATTTTCAAAATGGATTTGAAGTATGTCCCATTGCAGACCAGCCCAGCTTCCTGTTGGGCTGGGCTGCTGCTCTTGCTGCCCCATCCCCTCCTGTCGGGATCTGTCCAGCTCCATTCAGTCTCGTCTGGTCCAGTCCCATCTTGTCGTACATGACCCCATCCTGTCCTGTCTCGGGACCCCATCTGGTCTTGTGCAGCTACATCCAGTCTTGCCTGGCCTTGTCTAGTCCCACATGGCCCATCTGGTCACATCTGGTTCCCATATGATTCTATCTGGCCCTATCTGGTCCCATCTGCCCCCCCCCCCCCCCCCCATCCTGTCCGGTCCACCTCCATTCAGTTCCATCTGGCCCTATCTGGTCCCGTCTGGATGCATCCGGTCTCATCCAGCCCTGTTTGTCGCATCCAGTTGTCCCATCCAGTACAGTCTGGTCCAATCTGGTCCTGTTCAGTGCCATGGGGTCCCAGCAGGTCCCATCCAACCCCATCGAATATTTTATGTTCATCAGTTTGCGAGCAGTAAGACATATGTCATGGAGATTCGGTGCCTGTAACGCTCTTCAGCTAACTGCGGTATAACACCAGCTAGCATCAGGTTACTGCGCCGCGAACTTGATGGCCTCAGGCCGCCGGCCGTGGCTTTCACGGCAGAAATTCTGGATGTGGGTGCTAATATAGGCTATTTGGTTCATTCAGCTGGTATATATCCATACACATCTGTGGTATTATTCCATCCTGTGGGGGCCTTCAGGCGTGATTGTGTGCAGAGAAGTCGGTCTTGTCGGGGCTTGCGCCAGCAGTGTTGCCAGGGCCAACAACGAATATATAACAATGTATGATAATAAGAATATGTAATATAAAGATATATTATATATAATATAATAATAATGTATCATATATCACAATAATGTATAATATATAATAATATATAATATGGCCCTCCTCCAGCATTGTTTGAATTAGTCGTGCCTGGAACATGCAGTAGCACAAACTGGAAGCACAAACTATTTTTCTTCACAGCAGAGATGCATAGGGAATGAAATGTGTCTGTACCAAATCACGAAGAAATGTGAAAGCATGGACACACACAGACGCTAGACACCGTTGTTGTCATTGTCGAGATGCGTCTTTGCGCCATGTGCTCGCGCTCTTAAGTGTCACCAATGACACCGCGGACGGGCTGACTGTGTGGCCAGCCTGCTCCTCCTGCAGCGGGCCTGCATCTGCAGCGAGTCTGCTCCTCCTGCGGCGAGCCTGCTCCCCCTGCAACGAGCCTGCTCCTCCTGCAGCGAGCCTGCTCCTGCAGCGAGCCTGCTCCTCCTGCAGCGAGCCCGCTTCTCCTGCAGCGAGCCTGCTCCCCCTGCAACGAGCCTGCTCCTCCTGCAGCGAGCCTGCTCCCCCTGCAGCGAGCCTGCCGCTCCTGCAGCGAGCCTGCTCCTCGTGCGACGAGCCTGCTCCTCCTGCAGCGAGCCTGCTCCTCCTGCAGCGAACCTGCTCCTGCAATGAGCCTGCTCCTCCTGCAGCGAGCCTGCTCCTCATGCAGCGAGCCTGCTCCTCCTGCAGCCAGCCTGGTCCTCCTGCAGGGAGCCTGCTCCTCCTGCGGCGAGCCCGCCCATCCTCCGGCGAGCCTACTTCTCTTACAGCGAGCCTGTCGTGTGACGGTGCGCGCTCCCTTCAGCGAGCCTGATCCTCCTGCAGCGAGTCTGCTCCTCCTGCAGCGAGCCTGATCCTCCTGCAGCGAGTCTGCTCCTCCTGCAGCGAGCCTGGTCTTCCTGCAGCGAGTCTGCTCCTCCTGCAGCGAGCCTGCTCCTCCTGCGGCAAGCCTGCCCCTCCTGCGGCAAGCCTGCCCCTCCTGCGGCGAGCCTGCATCTGCAGCGAGCCTGCTCCTCCTGCAGCGAGCCTGCTCCTCCTGCAGCGAGCCTGCTCCTCCTGCAGCGAGCCTGCTCCTCCTGCGGCGAGCCTGCTCCCCCTGCAGCGAGCCTGCTCCCCCTGCAGCGAGCCTGATCCTCCTGCAGCGAGTCTGCTCCTCCTGCAGCGAGCCTGGTCTTCCTGCAGCGAGTCTGCTCCTCCTGCAGCGAGCCTGCTCCTCCTGCAGCGAGTCTGCTCCTCCTGCGGCGAGCCTGGTCTTCCTGCAGCGAGTCTGCTCCTCCTGCAGCGAGTCTGCTCCTCCTGCAGCGAGTCTGCTCCTCCTGCGGCGAGCCTGGTCTTCCTGCAGCGAGCCTGATCCTCCTGCAGCGAGTCTGCTCCTCCTGCAGCGAGCCTGGTCTTCCTGCAGCGAGTCTGCTCCTCCTGCAGCGAGCCGATCGTGTGACAGTGCCACGCGTGCCGACAGTTTCTGCCTGACGCTGTACTGGCGTCACGGACGGGCGGCGGACGAGTACAGTGTGCAGACATGCCGCTCCCGCCTGCCGCTGCCCAGCCCCGGCATCCCGGCGGTGAGTGCGCCGCCACCGAGCCGCAGTCGGAGGCCAACTCAACGCCACCTTGCCCTGCCGTATGCTTGCTGATCCTGTGCGCCGGCCGCGCTAATGCTGCCGTGCTCAGCGACTGCTGTTGTCGGGGCTAGAAATTGTGTTACCTAGAACATTTGCGTAGGTTGAATGATAGCAAATAGCTGCAGACACCGGATACGCGAAACTGAGCTGATTAGCCCGACGTAGCTGGAGATGACGCTATGTAAGTGAGAGACCTTTAGCCGGGCGGCATCAGCTGAGCGCACGTGGACGCAGGTGGGCACAGTCTGAATCTGGCAGGCATCCTGCACGTCTGTGCCGTGTGCAGGGCACGTGTCCGGTCACAGGTCGCCGCCCGTCCGGCCCAGTGCCGCACTTTCGTGTGTTCTGCTCCAGAAAGGCTGGAGCACTGAGCACCGGCAGTGCCCATTTTACGTCCCACTCTTCTCGGATGTGTCATTGTTTTTGCCTGCTCCGAGCGGTGCTCGCAGGGCCGCGTTAGTTCTGTCTGTAGTGGTGCCTGTCCCGCTTCAACTCCGATCTGGATGTCGCCGCGCAGACGCCATCCGGCTATCCCACGTGCTGACATTTCCTGGTGGCCGGCAGACCGCCTCTCTGACGTGCCCCGCTCGCTGGCATGTCTTGTCTCTGACTCGTCTCCATTCTGACCTCCCCGGTCGCCGACAGATCGTGTCTCTGACCCGTCTCGGTTCTGACATTCCCCGCTCGCCGGCAGATCGTGTCTGTGACCCGTCTCCGTTCTGACCCGCCCCGGTGGCCGGCAGATCGTGTCTCTGACCCGTCTCCCTTCTGACCTGCCCCGGTGGCCGGCAGGTCGTGTCTCTCACCCGTCCCCGTTCTGACCTGCCTCGGTCGCCGACAGATCGTGTCTCTGACCCGTCTCCGTTCTGACCTCCCCCGGTCGCCGACAGATCGTGTCTCTGACCCGTCTCCGTTCTGACCTGCCTCGGTCGCCGCCAGATCGTGTCTCTGACCCGGTCTCCCCCACGTGAGCTGCGCTTCGACCAGCGGTACACGGGCTCCAGTCCGATCGACGAGCAGATCAAGCAGGTGCTGCAGTTCGCCTTCCGGGACTTCGTCAAACCATGGTGAGCCGGCGTCATCGGGGCGGGCCCGTTGCACAATACCTTGTAATGCTTTTTACTATATTCCTACGTGCCATTTCATTACATTACACAGTGTATTTTTAAAAGCTTCCGAGCAGCATCCAAGGAATTTCAAGTTTGCAAGTAAATACGTCACACGAACTCCTCCGTTTTCCAGGTATTTCAGCATATCGGACGACCCGGAGTTTTTGTACGAGCTGCATCAGCTGATTCAGCACCTGGTCGTCGGCCTGGCATCCCGGTACGTGACCAGGCCGTGTGTGGATGGCGGCGGGCAGGCTGCGTTCAGCTCCACCATAGCTCAATGTCACAGGCAGAGCATTGTCGCCCGCGCTACCCATGGGGGTGACGTCACAGGACCAAGTCCACGTAGTTTTCCATACCACATAGCAAGAAGGAATGACTTTGTTCGTTGGTTTTTGTAGGAATGCAGGAGGTTAAGCATGCGAGTTGTCTTGCTGTGCGAAGGGGTTGGGTGCGGGAAGTTTTTGTTGGACGTAATTGTGCATTTGACATGGGCCTGGGTCCGAGTATGGCGTGCCAGAGTCGTGAGCGTACACCCATTTGTCATTGTCGAGGACGCGGACGGGCCGGCGCACCTGATGTGAGGCTCGCGCAGGCTTGTCGGGGCGAGGGTTATGGACCAGGTGCTGTACCTGGCGGGCGCTGCACGGGTGTGTCGGGGCGGAGGAGGGTTAGGTGGCGCACTGCGTGGGCCATTTGTCCACGACCGTGTGCGGCGGGTCGTGGGTTCGAACCTAACCACTGCCCGAGTGTTTTACTGTGAACCACGACAACACCCACGGGATATGGCTGTGTGGGACGACCACAGAAGTGGCACGTGTAGCTCAATGAGCGAACGACTGATGTATGGCCGAGGACGTGCGCGGAACACCGCGCCTGACGTGGATTGTGTGCGGCTACGCCAGAGCCAAGGACGTGGACTGGGTGCCGTACCTGACGAGGAAGCTGGTGGAAGATGTGGCGCTGCACCTGCGCATGTTCCGGCAGGCGCGTACCCGCTTCCGGGTAAGACCGCCCACCCAGCCCCGCAGTCCGCTGTGCTGGCCCCACGTCCCTGCGATTTCGGGGCGCATTTTGTTGACCGTGTCGATCGTGATAGCTTATTGTCATTACGCTCTTGTTCTTCAGCACATTCAGTAACATACACCTTGCATTACTAAATTGTGCTTCACTTATTTGACTGTGCATGGTTTCACGTGGTTTTAACCACGTCTCAGAGATTGGGGTGGGGTCAAATGGGGATTCGGAGATCAAACTGGAATCTGGAGAGGGCGATGGTACGTACCTGAAAGTGACTCCCTTCAAGGGGAAATATGAAGCGTATATTTCGCTGGAAACATTTTAGGTGGCAAAATCCCACTTAATGAAAATTGGAATACCTGTTCGCCCTCTGTGATCGCACCCACTTGTCTGTGTCCTTTACTGTTATGGTGAGCGGTCTTGTGATCCTGGGTCGATAAGATATCTTCACGCGCACTGTGTTGATGGCGCAGGAGCAGCTGGACACCAAGCCAGTGGATCTGGAGTCGATCTTCTTCGACCTGGAGGCGGGTTTGGAGAAGAAGCGGCTCTGTCGCGATCTGGTCTGCACGGTCGACACGTACGAGAAGGGTGGGTGCTCGCTCTGGCGTCGCGTCAGAGCCGCCGCCGACATGCAGAGGCTCACAGCTGTTGTTGGACGCGGCGGCTGCAGGCCGACCGTCCAGGCCGCGCGCTCCACGCTCCACACCCCACACTCCACACTCCACACTCCACACTCCACACTCCACGCTTCACACTTCACGCCCCACGCTCCACACTTACACTCCACACTTCACGCCCCACACTTCACACCCCACACTTCACACTCCACACCCCACACTCCACACCCCACACTCCACACCCCACACTCCACGCTTCACACTTCACGCCCCACACCCCACACTTCACACTCCACACTCCACACTCCACACTCCACACTTCACGCCCCACGCCCCACGCCCCACGCCCCACGCCCCACGCCCCACGCCTCACGCCGCACGCCGCACGCCGCACGCCGCACGCCGCACGCCGCACGCCGCACGCCCCACGCCCCACGCCCCACGCCCCACGCCCCACGCCCCACGCCCCACGCCTCACGCTCCACGCCCCACACTCTGCACTCTGCACTCTGCACTCTGCACTCTGCACTCTGCACTCCGCACTCCGCACTCCGCACTCCGCGCTCCACACTCCACACTCTGCACTCCACACTCCACACTCCACACTCCACACTCCGCGCCCTACAACCTACTCCCCACGCCCCACGCCCCATACTACCACTCCCCACCCCAAACTCCCCACTCCCCACCCCACACCCCCCACACTCCCCACTCCCCACCCCACCCAACCACATGCGCCCCGCCCTCACACGACTGACAGTGCGCTGTCTCCCAGGGCTGAAGACAGCCGTTACTGGAAGCGCCCTCGGTGCATCCATCGCATTGCATCCTACGTACATTCATTGCACATACGCCATCTTTGGACCTGATGCCGATGAAGCTCCAGCGCCAGCGATAACCGAGTGTTCGCAGACCAGCACTTGGGTAGTCGTGACGGCACGCGGCATGCTAAGCTGTCAGGGATCACGAGCCACGTCAGCATGTCGTGACAGGGGCACCGGACCTAGTAAAGGGCTGGAGAGAGGTTTTAACGTCACTTAGCATTGGGCCGTCCACAACGAGAGGCCCCGGAGCCCAGCCGTTACTGCTGCACCTCAGCGTCGGGGCACAGCGCCGCCGAGAGACGCCTGACTCAAGCGGCATTACGCAGCATTTCCAATAGATGGCGGACACAGATGGCATCACACGGCGCCTCCTGGCGTTGCCGTGACCTCGAGCGTCAGGACGCCGTACTCCAGTGTTTACGGACTCAGGGGTCAGTACAAGGCGCCTCCGAGAGATGGCGTTGGCGTGTGACGGCGGTGCTCTGCCGGGCAGACTACCTGCGGGACTGTGAGCCGCGTGCTGCTGCACCAGCTGCTGCCGGAGCCGGAGTTCGCCTGCCGCGCCCAGCTGGCCGCCGCTGTCGAGCTGCTCTCGCAGATGGCGCTGCTGCCGCTCTCGCAGATGCTGACGGCGCCGGACTTCGTCAACAGGACCGTCGTGTGGCTGGTGAGGCGAGGTCTGGAGCTCGCACAGAGGCGCGAGCATATGCTTTGAATAGTGCTTTCCCTCCGAACTGCTGCAGGGTGGGGACGTCTCCACCACTGCTGCCGAGTTTCTCACCGACGCGCCTGGCTGCGTTGCTGTGCAATGACGCCCAAACCCAGTGGCGTGCTCCTGT